GGGTAGCAGAAATTTTGTATAATACATTCTGCCCTCAGTACAGTGATGATGTACTGGTGGGAGCTGAAACCCTTGAGGAACTCCGGGAAAAGGTGATATTGGTATTTTCCAGGTTTGCCCATTACGGAGTAAAAGTGAACTTTCAGAAGGTGGTGTGGTGTAGTGAGTCCATCACCTTCCTGGGACATGAAATTAGTAATGGGCACTGGAGTTTTGAAAAATACCTACAGAAAAAAATGAAGGAGGTGGGAAAGGTGGAAAATATCAAACAACTAGAATCAGTTATTGGGGTCCTTTCTTATGCCAGGAGGTGTATAGTTGGCATAGAAAGGATTTTGGGCCCACTACGCGACATGCTCAGGGAGTGGAAGGCTGGCCCACTTTCTGATGCAAAAATAAGCGTTGTACAGGAAAAAATCAAGGCTGCCTTTCAGCTCGCCCTAGACAACATCAAATGGCTCATATTGCCAGGGGCGGAGGCAGACCGGTACATCTTCACACTGGAGTCTGACTGGAGCACAGGACATAGTGGATATATGCTGTTTGTAGAACGAAATGGGGAAGAAAAATTGGTAGATATCGGGAGTAGATCAGTAAAAGCAGCAACTTCGTCATATCTGGGTGAGCTGGAAGCAATTGTGTGGGCCTGCAAACGTACCAAGGCGTTTAGAGGAGCCGTACCGCTAGTAGTGAGGACCGACAGCCATGCAATCTTTGATAGGTTCAAATCCGGGTATCTACATGACAGCGACATTAGAGCCTACCAAAAATGGGGGTGGCTTGTTGCTAATGAACCCGGGTTTACTTTAGAGTTCATGGCTGGTTCTCAGAACACGGGAGCGGACCTTTTGAGCAGGCCCAATGGCGAAAGCTTCCATGTCAGACTCAGAAGGAGAGGGGAAAGTTGCAGCTGCAGTATGACTACCAAGAATCAACCACAAAACTACTCCATCAGCAGATCTACCACAACCAGCAGATCCTTTGAAGTGTTTCTGGGGCCAGTAGGACTGGGTGTACATACAAACCGTCAGTCAGCAATGACAGAGGAAGAAAGGCTGAGTAAACTACGGCAGTTGGCCTGGAATGAGCACTGTGATGGACACTGGGGACCGTTTAAAGTACAGTATGCCCTTAGACAAAAGGGCCATTCTGTACCATGGTCAATAATTAAGCAAATGTGCTCTCAGTGTGAGATCTGTGCGCTATATAGGCCATTGATTGCCCGAAGGGGGTTTGGACAGCCCCCGGTATCACTCAAGCCAGGTCACACTATTTTTGTGGATATAGTGGGACCGTTTCCGGAGGAAGATGGGTTGGAGTACATACAGTGTGTAGTAGATTCAGCATCAAGGGTGATAGATGCTGTAGCTATAGCTAGTACGGATAGTGGGGAGGCAATACGTGCCTTAGAGCGTTGGAAGGCATTCCATGGCCCATTTGGTGTCTTGGTGTCTGACAACGCCAGTACATACCAAAGCGACCAGTTTCGGAGATGGTGCAAGGGCAATGGCGTAATGCACCTGTTTATAGCTCCCTACCGCCACGAAAGTATTGGCGTAGTGGAGCGGTGCAATCGAACCGTTGTACATCAGCTTGGGAAACGGGTTCTAGCTACGGGTGGCACATGGACAACCGAATTAGACTGGGTTGTTCAGAATATAAATAGGTCAGTACATGCAACTGCTGGAATGACGCCGAATGAGCTGTGGGGAGCTAACTACAAGGTCAGACTGGAAGCCCATCAAAAGATGGCCAAGGCGAGGGATCGGGCCAATCAGAACCTCAGAGTTTTCTCGGAGAATCTGCAGGTTGGCGATACTGTCCTTGTCTACGATTTCAGTCGCCTCAAGAGGCAGCGAAACAAGTTGATGAAGCGTTGGGCTGGCCCCTACAAACTGGTTGAGAAGCTTCCCGGCAGCCTCTGGAGGGCTCAGGAGCGAATACGCGACAAGCCGGGCCGGAAGAAGATCCTCGTGTTCCACGAGAACTTCATACAGAAGTTTGACGACGACGAACACGTATGGTGACCCAGCCGGACGACCAGTATTTCGGAGTAGGAGCGCAGTTCAGCGTGGGAGTGCCCATGTTAAAGTTGGCCATTTCCAGGCCATAAATGACATGGCAAATGTCTCCATCAACTTCATTTTCCCAGCATCTACCGGCAATATTGCCAGCAGCATCGACTGACCACCATTAGTTACATCCTCAAAAGCATATTACATCTGAAGACAGCGGCAGCATGAGAAGCGCTCAAGAAGCGACAATCCGACCAGAACTGTACAAGATCAATCCGCTCAGCAATCAGAATTCCGGAACCAGTTCCAATGAACAGTGTCACTACCCTTCATGACCAACTACGCATCCACGTGCAAGGTCCCGTCCGACTTTGACGCCCAGCATGGGATAACGATATCCTCTCACACGCCCACAAGCCGTCAAGCGACCAGTCCGACATCCAAACACCGTCCAAGACCCCAAAACGGCAAAAGCGCACAGCCGCGCTTCCCTGCAATCTGACCGTCCTGCACAGCGCACCCCGCCTCTCACTCCCACTGCCCAGCAGCTGATTGGCGGTTTCCCAGCAGCCATGACTGCGACGCGATTTCGCCAAGTCGAAAGTTGGCGTTTCCTCGTCGCCCAGTGGCTCGCCCTGGGCGACCTCTGGCTCTCGAGATGGTACCTCGAGAGGTCTGACTGTCCCCCTGGCTACTGGAGCTTCGGGCTTACTGTGATCCTGCCATTCAGTGAGGAAGACGCTCAGTGGCTGCATCACCAGCGAGAGCACGGGGAAGAATCGCTGCGGTATAGGCTGCAGGAGGAGACGCGCGAGGCGTACTACCGCACCGTGTCAACTCAACTTACGTCAGGACATGTGCCTGGGCCAGGGGAGAAGCCGGACTGGAATCCTGACTACAAGCCGGAGGCCATGTACCGCCCCTGGGCACTCCAGGTGCACCCCCATCCAACACGACCGTACACCGGCATGGGGACGCAGGCGTTCTGTCAACGTATTGCGGCGATGATCGAACGCGAAGGTGGACGGATCCAGGCTTGGCGCGGCGCGGAGCTCAACTTTTTTTATCGCCAGGTACATGTGAGCCTTGACATCAGTGTACCGCACTCCAATGATCGCTGCTGGCGGATGGAGGGTGGGGGCGTCACTCGCCGTGAGTATGCGGCCACGCATCCGTCCAGCGCCTCCGAGGTATTCCCACGCGATCGAAAGGACTTCGGGATTCAGACGGAGCCAAATGCGGCCGTACTGCCCTCCGCCGCCCTCGCGGAAGCCAGCGCGCTCGTGGCTCGACGCCTCAATGCGGGCAAGGAACCGTATACAGCCGTGGAGCTGCGCGCGGAGGAGCGGGCCTGGCGGAGGGCCATCCGACGTCAGCGACGCGAGGCGAGGCGACAAAGCAAGTCCACGCATGACGCCATGGAAGAAGCGCCCGTGACCAATTGGCCGTATTCCGCAACCTCGGCACGCACTGCTGGCGATCTACACCAACCCCGCCACCCGGCTTGATGGACACACAACGAGAGGCGATGACGCCATCGCCCCGCCAGATTCGGGTCAGGGGCACGGACTACGGAAAGTTGGTAGACGCAGCCACGGGATCGTGATGCCGTGACGATGCCCGGTCATGGATGACGCCGACGACCGAGGCCGCCGGATACCGGCGCCGATGGAGCTGCCCAAGAGAATCTCTCGCGAGGGAGGGGAGGTGAGAGGGTCTGGCCGGGTATGCGATTAGAAATGGACGGATCAGAAGCGGAAGGAGATAATCGATTGGGTCTTTTCTTTGTCCGCCAAGCAGGTGAACGACTTGAGAGGTGGACGAGAGGGGTGAAACCCATGCGCAACAAATGTGACGGACAAACGATTTCTGTAATAAATAGCCGCGGGGAGTCTGTCCTGACAGCTCTCCGGCAGGCCCCTGTGTGACAAAGAGTGTCCCAGCCGCCTGTACCTCCCCGCCGTCGCACCACAGCCCCCCGCCAGGCTCGGCCACCGCTGGCCTTGCCCCCTCACGTTACCCGAGAGTACGTGAGCCGGCCTAAGGAGCCTCGGGGCCCTGTGGTGTACCGCGCACTCACGCCGAGTGCTGGTGAGACGTTTGTGGGATCCGGAGTGATTGAGGGCGGCGCATTACGCAAGGCGGGCGCCGTCGCTGGTGCTGGAGTGCCGTAGCACCCTACGGGAGTGCGGATCGGCCGGTACGCGCAACGAGTGGACGCGGTGAGGACGTTGCGTCGTGCGGAACTGGTGGAGGCCTCTGCGGTGAGGTGCGCGATGACTATGAGCTTTCCGGGATCGCCCGTGGAAGGGGCTGCCGTCATGGCGGCGTTGGCTGGCGCTGTCGGACGAGGTGTGAGGTTCCTGGGCGCTGGCATCCAGTGGATTGGGGACTTCTTGGTGACCCTACTCGGGTGGCTGGCCTGGATGCTGAATATTGATGAGACGAAGACGAATTCCATTATAGGAGCGGTCAGAATGGTTTACAATGGCCTGGCCCTCCTCATTTTGTTCAACATGACTGCCGCCATTTTCTGCGCAATGGGGCAACTTCTGCAATCCACGGAAGGCCGCCATCACGAAAAGGCACTTGAGGAAACACACACCCGCAACCCCAGGCGCGCTGCCTAGTCGCGTCCGCAGTTGTGGAGCTGGCAAAATGTACCCAACGGTGCATCGCTCTCGTCCCCGTTATACCATGTTAAATGCAGCGTACGTCACAGTGTGGTTACGGAAACGCTTCAAGGTCGCTGCTGGAGCACTGTAACGCGGGGTGAACTGTCTGGGCAGATCCGTGTGGTCCGTGTTCAACCTAAACCTAGAACAACAGTACACAATCCGCCTTCCGTCCACTGGCCCAGAGCGTGATCAGGCCACAGTCTTCAGCGAGCCCACGGCACTAATTGGCTGGCGGGAGGGTGGTGCGCCACCCTGCCACCTGTCCAACTCTGAGGCTGGTCGCACCTTCCGCCGGGGCGACGCCGCGATGCCCTACGCCCTGGCGCCCTCCAAGCTGGCGACCTGCGTGGTTAGTACCTCGCGCGTCGATTGCACCGGGCCTCCCGCTCTGCCGCGCCTCCGCCACCAGCTGTCAGACTTCTCGTCAACGCACACCTCTGGGCCGCTGGGGTGCAATAGAGGATGCCGCGTATTCGCGTTTGTTTCTGCCTGTTGGATGATCGAAGCAGCGAAAGCGGATCTCGACGGTTATTGGTGGGAAGATGCGTTGAGCCTGCCCGCGGATGGATGGCAGGTTAAGGAATCCGTTCCAAGGCGCAACCGGGGGACAGCGCGGCAAGACTTGTGGCAGAGGTCGTTTCTGGCAGGTGTGTGGGCCTGGGTGACAAAGGAAAGGAAGCGCACGCGGCTGCGTCGCCTGTCGCGATCACGGCGTTGGCATCGTGGATCTCGAGTTGCTCTTCCTGGCACGAGAGCTTTCCTGCATTCTTGGCACGAAAGAACGTGCACGCTACCTGTCGTTATAGATCCAGAACACGTGCCACCCTGCCCTGACCAGAGAGAGACAAATCGTTTGCTGCTGCGCAAGACATTTCGTGTCGATGCCAAGTGTGGACCTGTACATCTGAGAGGTTGATACGCACTGCTGTATATGTGTTTCCTGCCTGAATTTAACTCATCTGCATGAAACAGGCAGGCCTGTTGTGCCCAGTTTCAGGGCGTGTAGAGGTGTGGAGGTGCACAAATCTATTCAAAATGGTGCGAAATGGATGGCCGCACAGTGGTTAGATAACAGGTAATGTCTGTGTTACTGTGTGCTGTTGATCACTGGATTCCTCAACACAACTTTTTGTTGCACATTAGCGCGGCCTTCTGCCTTTCAGTATTGCTGTTGTCCTTGGCATTTTCAATGATCCAGGTGGGTTATTAAGGTACGTGCCTCATTTCCACTAAGGAATGCATCACTGTGGAATTTGTAGGATTTCGATTGACCAGTGTGGTAGACATTCAGGTACTAGGCACTTGTGGGGTGCATCGTTGGGTATTGATGCATGGCCATTTGCCAATTTGCCTGCAAGGGCCACACGATTCTGCCATGTTAACATCAAATACCCATGATTCAGATTGAGAACATTGATGATTTGACATCAAGATTTTGAATTTATTTTGGTAAATGTGTTTAGAATGTATGTTATGTGTCAACAGGGCAGAATTGAAGGTGCCTGTCAGCCTTGCTGAGTGCTGGGAACTGTGGCAGGACAGGACGCTCATGCCACAGTGGATGCCCTGGATCACCAGCGTTGAGGTACAAACTGCCACTGAAACGAATCCACTCAGTTTAACCAAGCAAATTAGTGGGGCACACAGTTAGAACAGCAATGTAGTTGAGTTGAAACTCTTCAATAATTGATGGCTGCATTGAATTGCAACTGAAGTGCCTTGGAATTCCTTCTGTAATTTTTCAGCACAAAGCTGAGTGCACGTAGATGTTGGCAATGAATACAATACGATGCAGAATTAGAGTATGCCACCATGACAGGAGGCAGAGAGTTTGCCAGCTCAGAACCTGCTGCTCAACAGCTGATTCTGGTGCTTGAGATTGATCATGCTGGTGTTGTTCAGCTCTCGCACACCTGCAACAGCAGTTCCTGTGTGCAGTTGGTGCTCTTGCTAGTCTTGGACAACGTTGTTTTCCAATTGCATGCAAAACGTATGTTAGCTACCTTGATTCCAGTGAACTCTGACTCATTTCCCAGTGTTGGTTGAGCTCAAACCCAAAAGGTGTTGCTGCTAGGTTCTCGATGAAGATCCAGCGCTGTCTCGTTGGACTCTATCCACAGAACAATTCAATCGCACTTGGGAGTTCAGCTGGTTGGCCAGGAATTTGACAGCCATTCCGTATCAAAAGGTGAGTTTTGATTGTATGTTACCACACATGTGGGTGCTGCTGACTGAAGTGCAGTGGATGTGCTTGCCTTTTAGTTGTCCTCCACTCTGAATTGCTGTTTTGCAGAAGACCATTTGTTGCTTTGATCATAAAGCCCCTGGCTTGATCACACATTGAGTTCATTGTACTTTCAGTCTCACAGTCGTATTCTGCAAGGCTGCGGCTCTGACGATCATCGCACTCTGAACTAACCAGTCTGCAATGCCTCTGGAGCAGATTCATTGGCGTTCCGAACCTGGGCCCTCCACGGGCCTCATAGACCTCAGCAACAGGTACGATTCCTTGTTATGGCATCTTTTTGGTAATCCTGGCATGGCTGCACTAAAGCAGGTCATTTACGACTGCACATTGCTTTGCCTCGTGGAAGAGCTTTCTTTTGCATAATACTGACATTCCCTAGTACGTACGGAACATGTCAGTATCGGGGTGGGATTTCTTGCTCACCTCATATCGAGTGGACATTTTACTGGCAGTAGCTGGTGTGTTCTCCATTTCCACTTGTTTGTGTCAAAGACAAACTTGCCATTTGCTTTGTCAGAGACGAGGTGGACTCTTGCTGCTTGCTGTTTGTATTCGTGCTCTGTGTTTGTCATGTATTTTGATGTTTGTTATATTATATATGCAGAACTTGTATTTCTTTGCTTATGCAGGGGACAGGTCAGGTTCTATCCTGGGCCAGATAACTCGTGCTCTGTCAGCATGACTGTATCCTATGAGGTACCTGATGTGCTGGTGCCGTTTGCCAACGTAAGCAGCTGAACTTTTCCCAAAAGCCTGGATCGTGTCTTCAATCGAACGAACCTCTCTTGGCGGTTTCATCTTCAAGATTGCTTTTGTTTCACTGTGGAAGATGCATGTGTTGTCACGAAGGACCCGAGTGGGGTCTGGGAAGACGGCTGTGTAGAAAATTAGGGAATTTGTGTGCAGTATTTTGTGCAATGCTTCTTGATTGACAAAATGATTCTAGGATGTACAGGAGAAATTGCTTTTGAAGAGGGATGCTGTTGGCTCAGTGCACCTAAGAATCGTATGGCAGTTGCGTGTAAGCGCTGCCCTGCCAGCTCTCACATGTGTGAGCCGCCAAATTTGCGCAACTGCGTTTGGCTGCGTTGCTTGGATGTACAGCAGCCCATTGTGGCCCATGTCATGCACATTGCACAGAGAAAGGAATCCGGAACAGCACAACAGCTATGCCCTGACCGGCCTCGGGTGTTGAGCAGGCGCAGGTGTCGTTGCCCTTCGCGGCAGAGCTGGCAGTTGATATCACGTTCGGGCATGTTGGACATTTCCCCATTCTCCCACACGTCCTACGACTCCATGTTCCTGCTGCTTGTGCTGCTCGTCATTACACGCCTTTCCTCGTGCACTGGGAAATTGCTGCATATCCATGACAGTGTGGAAAGAGGCTGAAGCATCTGTCTAACGAGAGTTGGTGGCTGTAGTTCACACTTCCTACTTAAGGTAATCTGCTTTTCCGCCAGGTGCTGACGCCAATCGTGGAGAACATCCTGCTGGAGGACCTGAAGCGTTTCTCTGCCTATGCTCAAAAACGGCAAAAATCACCTGCCCAATCCTCATGACATCGCTCCAGCCCAGCCTTCCTGCAACTAAGCACCAGTGGCTGTTGTTGCTGCGACTGGGGACTTGCCATTTGGTAAAGGTCCCCCTCTTAGCGTGGGCAGTTAAACGTGCTCACAGCGCGTGCTCGTCCAATTTCAGGCATGGTTGAATGCAGGTATGCTCGAGATCATCATTGTTGGGAGCATTGGGGCAAGATAGACCACTGAAAGCAGAGCGTGGTACAGACATGTGTTGCGAGAGTGGACTTGCTTTTCTGCACACTGCGCAGTCATGACCAGGGCTGTCTAAATTCTTTGGGGCCACGCAACTCTCGAAATGTAGAGAATGTGGGAGGAAAAAGAGGAATGGTGTTCATCAGACTGCACTCTTCTTTTAAGTTTTGGCAAATAGTGTGCTAAGGTGCAATTGCACTGTGGAAGCGATTTTAGAGTAAGCGGATGCTTTGCACTGATGGGCTTTTTGTGCCCGTGCGGACTGAACCAGTGGCTGCCAAGGGCCCTGTGTATGCACAAGGATCAAGCATTGGACAGGACAGGGGGCGAGAACACGTTGCAGCACCGACAGTGCGAGAAACGAGCTTGTTGATGTGGTTGAGGTCGCATGCACAACAAAGGATTGCCTGACGGGTCCCTGTTGTTTGATGCAAAAGGAACCACACAGCTTGCGCAGGCGACCAACAGCAACACCACCAGTATTGGCCACCGCCTAGTGGCAAGTCCTAGACGCCAAATTGGGTGGTGACATTTGGTGGTCTTCGTCGTGTGCTCACACTCCGAATGATTGTTTGCCCAGCCACCAACGAACCTGCAAGAACTGGAACTGGGTTTGGCAATCAGCATTTGTAGTCCTAGCGCAGCATCCCCACAGTTCATTATATGCATCTGGGCTGTTGTTCGAGGCCCCTCAAGGCATGCAGAAACAAACGCACTCCTGGAAATTCGTTGGGCTAGTAGCCACCTGTCGGCCCAAATCCTCGCATCTTGCGCCTCAAGTTCACCCAACCTTGTGTTTGTCTATTCGATGACCACAGTGGCAACAACATAAGCGTCAACCACAGGTGTCGACATGGTGACGTTGAATGCTGCTGGCTAAGATAATGCTGAGATCCCATCATTGCGCAACTGCTGACAGAACCAGAGAAAATCCGCCAAATTCAGGTACAAATGACTTGCAAGGCACCGTGGTACAAGCCACAATTTGAAAACGAGCCACAGTTCGACCAACACATGCGCCGATAGAGCTCAGAGCACCCAGACTCAGACCCCAAGGCGGCACCAAAAACCACACAAATCCGCCCACTCCAATTCCTCATGCTGAGACACTTGTGCGCAGAGTCTAAACTGTGGACCATCGCAGTGCAGCACTGCCATGGCCCAGCCACGTCCAGTGGTCGCTGGCCACAACTTGGCGCAGTGCTCTCAACAACTCTTGGATACTGCCTGCTGATTCAGCGCTGCACTTAGATGCTGCCAGCGGTGGTGCAGCATGCCCTACCACAGAGCAGGGACCACCAGTGGACATGTCACATCCATCAATGGCACTGCACTGGCTGCATGGAGAGTAGGTGCTAAAGTGAAAGACCAGTGGCCCACAGAGCGATCAATTTGCAGCCCTTTCACACCAGTCCACTCCATTTTGCTCCATCTCTTCATGCATCTGCTCTGCTGTACTGCATCCCACCTCCGCTTCCCACCTCTCCATCCCAAATGTGCTAATTGACAGGGGACCATGCTTTGCCACTGCCTCAAGACTCACGTCCATGCCCGCCAGCACCTAGCATGCCGATGTCCTTTCCCTGGCCTGATGCGCACTTGTTCTCATGCACTTTGTACACAGAATCCGTTGCAATCTAAAGGGCAGTCTCAGAATGATCCCTATTCAGGGGCCAAATGCATCACAGCGTCTGTCTCTTTCCAAGAACTGCTGCAAAGGCATCTCCAACGGTAGGGTCTGATACGTTGTAACAAGCACTGGATGCCCGCTTGATGTCTATCTTTTTGCCCAAATGGCCTGTCTCTATCCAAGAACTGCTGCATTGGCTCAACCAACAGTGGCGGTCCGATGTGTTCGAACAAGCACTAGACGCTTGCTTGCTGTCTGCCCTTTGCTGTCCGTCCTTTTGCCCATCTGTCTGGCCGTCTCTTCAACGAGAGTCCCTCTTGCCCTCCACCTCCCAGTGGAGTCCCCTTGCCATCGGAGCTGCCCTATGCCGCATGCTTCCCATACCGCACACCAGAATCCCCGCACAATCTCCCGCAGCGTTGACAAGAGCCCCCAAACAAACCCTGCTCATGCCCGCTCTCCTCTCCTCCCGCACGTCCTCCCTCCCACACACAAGCTCATCATCACCTCCAGGGGGCGCCAAGAGGCAGCATCAACACTCTCCCTCAAGGGCATCCAAATCATCCACGCCTCCAGGCGGCGCGAAGATGCCTTGTAGATGCGTGTACGGCGTGTATGCCATGTATGGCAGCCACGCCAAGCTGCATCAGTAGTCTCCATCGAGGGCATCCAGCACAGCGAAGGCATCCTCGTCCCACGGGTTCACTCCCTGCTCTGCCAGCATCTGCACCTCCTCGTCCGTGAACCCCCCGTTCCGGCCGCGTTCCTGGATCTCCCGGTCGGCGGCCGCCCACGCCTCGGGATCCCCCAGCGAGCAGCCGCGGCGCAGCAGCTCGCTGCCCACCACCGACCGCACCACGTCGTCGCTCAGGCCCAGCTGGCGCATCGTCGCCATCAAATCCTCGTCCAGGGCCCCCACCGGGTCCACCCCTTCGGGCAAAATGGGACAGCCAGGATCCTCGCCATGGTGACGAGCAAAAACGGAAACGTGGTTAGGCGACCCAGGTTCTAATGCCAGTGGCGCATCTGCGACTGCCGGTGCTTCATGGGCATTAGACGCTGCAACCCGGTCGTGCGCCTTCAGCAGCCCCACCAGGATCTGCATCGTCGCCTCCTCGCCGTTCACGTCCCCCAGGTATGCCAGCGCGCCGGCCCCCACCCGCCCCACCGCCACCGCGCACATGTCGCCGTCGATCGCCTCCCCAGCCATGGATGGCACCAGCGAGTGCGTCCTTGCGCACGGGGCCGGCGCGTACACCTTCTCCTCCACCGGCACGCGCGACAGCATGCACGCTTTGACGTTGCAGCGGCGCGGCAGGCGCTCCGCGGTTCGCCGGTTGGGCATCCACCCCAATGGGCGACCCACATTGAGGTCGTGGTCCGTCCTTCTGTAGAAATCCCCCTCCATCGTCCAGGACTTCCCGAACCAGTTCTGAAACACCTTGAGCAGGCGCGGCCTTCCCTCCCCCGCCGCGAACGCCAGCAGGCCTCCCGCATTCACCCAATCAATAAGCGCCCTGCGCCATGCCGCGTCCGCCACGAACGGCCTCGAGGATTTGATGTCGTCCGTGAGCATGATCGCCGAGACTACGATCGCGCCGTAGCGACCGGATCGCAGCGCCTGGGTGGCGCTCGAGGGGGAGAATGCGATCACGTCGCACGGCCAGCCCGGGCCGCGCAGCGCAGGGAGGAGCCGGTCGCGGATGAGCCAGTCATCGTCGGTGGGGAAGAGGCCCAGGCCGCCGAGGATGAGGACGCGGTGCCCCGTGGTGGGCGAGGGGGACGGGGGCGCGGAGGGCTGGGCTGGCCGCGGGGCCCGGCCCCTGTTCTTGGCTCTCCTGCCCATGGAAGGTGTCGTTCGGGGCCGAGGCGGGGCCAAACACCCTCAAGCAGGGCAGCTGGGAAGCCTTGACCACGGCAGGGGACCGATCCTGAAATGGCGGGAAATTTGTGACGGGTGTGTGATGCGTTGGGATATTCATCATCAAGGTTTCTGGCGGATCGAGGCCGTCAGTAGGTGGGCGTGGAAGTTGCATGGGTTGTCCGACAACTTCCGAATGCAGCATATGAATTGCGCATTGGGGTATAAGGACGTCTAATGTATACTTCCTCAGTCCCATGTTTAATGGTAGTTATGAGCCGTAGCCTCGGAAAACCCTCCAGTTCACCCCAGGTTTCCACCAAAATTTGCCGCGATTTTTTTGGTTTGAGTATGGTTTGTGCTCCCAAAAATTTTGTGTTAACTGGCTGAGCGTTTAGTCCGCAGTGTCATCGTCAGAATTCGCCACTCGGCCGAAAATTCGTGGATTTTTCAAGGTGGCCCAGAAACTGCCCGTTTTCCCGGTTTTTGTTTCATGCTGACAAGGACTGGCATGTTGTTCCGATGGCGGCTTGGCTGGCTCTCAAAGGATTGGCTTGCGGTCTTCCCATTTCTGACATATTTTGGTACTACTTGGGAACAAGATTTACCCCCCCATTTTTGTTGTTTTCCGTAACTGCAATTCAATCTTGGACGAGAGGAAGGAATACTTGTTCGTGCCTCCACTGACAAGATGGCATCAGAGTCCCGAAAAACGTGTGTCTCCCACCGTTGGCCATTATCGGGGGGTTGTCAGCTTGCAGCTCCGACTCACCCTTCAAGTTCTTTTTCACAACGGGGGGTGAAGATGCACGCGGGCGGAAGTGAAGCGCTAATGTACGCGCTGACGGGAGACAGCTGGGGGTGAGTGTGTGTACGTGGCAGGTACGAGTTTGGGGGAATGAGAGCGAACGGGTTTGCACCTACCGTGCACTCGCTGCTGCAGTTGTGCTCCGCGGCTTGCAAATCACCGGCGTCGTGTCGAGGGCGGCGCGGTGGCCTGCCCCTCGGCAGACGGTGTGGTTGGGAACCGACGGAGCGCTGGCCAGAGTGGCGGTAGGTATGAATGGGGACGAATGCGCGACTTGCACTTGCGCCAAACGGCGATGAGCGCGCAGCAGGATTGGGGAGTATTGGATCTTGATGCCCAGATTACACGCCGCGAGTCCTTTAGCAAGCTTTTCGAGGGCGAGACACGCACCTTTTGTGTTGCGATTCCGAGACCGTTGTGTACCTCAACCTGGAACGACTCGGCTACGCAACTCGCGATCGAGGACGGCATTGACGTGCGCCATTCCGGACCGCGAGCAAATTGAGCAGGAGCAGAATTGCTGGAAGGGCTTTGTGAATTGGCTAACTGCGGACCAAGGTGTTCCGCTGCAGTCAGCAGTGGTGCATTTCACGTCATCTGGTGCCTTTCCCCTCAGCAGCATTCGGTTGGCCGGGTAATGGATTATTCACCACATAAGGGCGTCACAAGCTGGTGGTTGACTGCTGTCGTTTGGGGATCATTGGCTGCACAGAATATATTTTGACACGACACGATGCCGTCCAAGACATTGCTTCCTCCAGCCAAGGATGTGGAAGAAGGGCCCTACGATCTGAAGACTCTTGACGCTCCCGTCATGCGGGGCGTCAAGCTCAAGCTGTTTGTCACCTTGGCTGTTGAGAGCCCCCTGTTTGCGTTAGTGAAGCGTGCGCTGTTCAAAAAGAGCGGACTTCCCCAGGTGTGCTGCATTCTCAGATTGAGTTCTTCCTTACCTGGCCTGAGTTTCAGATCCATTGCAGGAGCAAAAGCACGAGTCTGGCTTGCTAGGAAGGATGGGACTGTCATGGCGACAGTGATTTGATCTTGTTGGGACTGTTATCCTTGGCCGTTGACATCACTGAACAAACAACTGTTGTTTTAGTTGCATCAATTGGTGGGGCATACTGCAGAAATTTGGACCTGGACACAAGCACATATTGATTTTATCATGATGGTACACAGTGCACCTAGAGTTGGCTTTAAGAAGTGACATGGCCATGGTGAGAGTAGGTGCTTGTGGTCTCGCTTTCTATTATGCATTCAAAACTCATCTGAAAAAACTGATCTGCCAACTGATCCCATCCCTGTGAATATGTCTCAACAATCAGCGAGATGCCGAATGTCAAATTCAGTTTACCCGTCTCATCTGCTAAACCTGGCCTTTGCCGCATAGGTTCTCAACGATGTTGACATTCCTGAGCTACCAAAATTCTTTCCAGAGCCCTTGTTTCCCCAAGGGGAATATCAGGCCACTCCTACTTTGGCACCAACTAGCACGCCCAAAGAGAAGTTGAATTTTGCGCTCAAAAGTGTGACCTCCGACTTCTTCACACCAAGTGGACCTCTTGCCACTACACCAAGGCCAACAGTGAGGGTCTACCATAAGGCTTACAAGGAAGGTGATATAAGTACTGATGCACGATACTCAGGATTTTTACATTCCGATCAATGGTTGTGGCAGCAAAAGCGGTTCAGCAGTTTCCACTGTGGTCTGTCAGATGTGGTGTGTCATGCACCTGAATATTATGACCTGATAATGGCCATTCAACACAATTGATGTGAGCACAGCTGGGAATCCTTTGGTTTGATTGATGCAGGATCATCCTCAAAATGCTGCATTGGCATTCTGTTTGCATAGGAACAGAAATAGCTGTCAAAGTCCTTGCCGGGATAAGTCAAGCGCATACACTGTTGCCATCTATTTGCTTCTGTTGTTGGCCGATGGCAGCCATCGTGTCTTGTGGTGTCTTTTGAACCTCGGCTGAGCGGTGGCACTGTTGACAGGGCTGTCAACGCCTACCCAGGTTGCGAACAACATCATCAAATTTCTGAAGGATCGGGACCTGCACTGGCTGATCGCATATGACGAGAAAGACATTCTATTGCAGGCTGAGGCAGCAACAAAGCGTTACAGCGAAGGCCAGCCACTGTCAGTGTTGGATGGGGTGCCATTCGCTGTGAAGGACACCGTGGATGCGGCGCCATACCGGACAACCTGTGGGACAGCCTACTATGGCACATGGTAACCAGGAGCTGCAGGATGTCACTAGCAATTGTGAATGTCCACATGCACAGTCCTGCATCAAGGCACAAAGGCATCTCAGTGCAGGATAATGCTGTCTTTGCTTGACACCTTGTAAATGCAGCCTCCTTGTGATGTGGGACTGGCATTGGTGGCTTTCAAATACGAGCCAACAGTTGTATGCATGTAGAATATTGAAAGGTCATGCAGGCCATGCTGCATGCTGATTCCTTATATTTTCAACTTTATAGCTTGTACATCTTGAACGAAAGCAAGACCCTGCTACTTGTCAGAGTAGATGCCCGAAACACAACCTGAATCTCCTTCTTTTCACCAGACGATCGCTCACACAATGCCATGAAGCAATAGCAAACACAGCCGTGAAACACTGACTCCGCTGTGCAGACCATGAGTTTCTGTCATGTCCTAAATGCAGGCGGGAACCGGGCAAGGAATTCCAGATTGTGACGTCTCTGAAGTCCCTGGGGGCAGTGCTCCTTGGAAAAACCAACATGAATGAGATCGGTTTGGGTGTGACTGGCATCAACACTGTCCATGGGACCCCTGTGAATCCATGGGCTGAAGGTCACTGCTGTGGGGGCTCTTCTTCTGGGTCTGGAGCGGTCGTTGGGTCAGGGCTGTGTCCCATTGCCATAGGTGAGGGACCCTGCGATCTGTCCAAAGTGGATCCCTGATATTGCACGAGCCCTTCCAATTGTAGAGCAATGGGTTGATCGAATATTTACGCCTGTTCTTCAAAGTAGGCACCAACTTTACAGGGAGTGTAAATCCAACATTGAATAGTAGATTGCACTATGTTGCCAGCTTCTGTCAATCGCTGGAGAATACGAGCTTGTTGAGTCGACGCTCGCATTTCGAGTGGTTCATTTGCTGGCTGTTTCACCAGGTGGGCCTGTGCATGCCTTCCTGTTTCGGGATTTCTATGCTGTGGTTCCAATTGAGCACTCTTCATGACCAGTTATTGAGTTCGGAAGCAAGAGGAGTGCTGACTTGTTTAGTTGATTGAGTGTGAATTCGACCATGTCCGTGCATGTAGAATTGCATGACATGGTATATTTCTTTTTCGGGACCAATGATGTGCTATGGCAGTCGGTACTCTGCCTGAATGACTGGTGTTGTTCCTGGCTAAAATTGTTTGCATACATTCCTATTCCTTTTATTTGCATCTCTACTTTGCTGCTCTTCCACTGTGTATTGCAGGTCACTGCAGGCCACTGGGAAGTTGTGGCAAGATAGTTGTACATGTCATATGCCCTGCTCACAAGGAACGTAGTCTTGAAGGTACGATTGACACGGTTCTGTGTGGGTGCGCATTGATGGCAGCGTCTGATGGAGGCGGCTCTCTACGCGTTCCGTCGTCTTTCTGTGGAGCTGTGACTCTCATGGCATCGCGTGGGCGTTTGAGCCATGAGGGCACCTGCGCCCTGGACTTCACTGTGGCAGAATATGGTCCGGTTGCTGGTAAGGGTTCCATAACTATTGTCGCACCTGGCTCACCAGGCTCCCTTTCAATGCCAAAACATGGGTTTACTTCATCCGGGTCAACAATGATGACGTGTGCCCACATTCACAAGGTGATGAAGTGGGAATTTGCGGCCTAAAATTGATCGCACAGAATGGCATGCAGCAAATGAAAATTTCAACAGGTGTTGGGATGAGCTTATGTGTAGTTTCAACTGTGGACGAGAAGCGAAGGTGAGGGGCATGCCGTGGTTTCGCCTGCCTGTTCTGTCTTTTCTTGAATGCGTTAATGCGCTTGACATATGCAAAGGATGCCTGATCCTACGTTTCGACACAGGCTGTGTTGATGATGCCATGATCACGTACTCCTTGCTGTGCGATGTGCCATCCACTCCCCCCATTGCACTGCCGGAGAGGCCTCCTGCTGGACCACAAAATGGCAAGCCACTGCGAGGACTGACCATGGGAATCTATTGGCAGGTACTGAGGGGGCGAAGCATACCGAGCACGATTCCCACTGAACAACAAGTCGAGCCGAACTTGTCTATGGGGAAATGATAAACAATAATTGGATGTCCCTGTGCTTATCATCACCTGTGAGTTGCATGGGCCCTGTTTGTCATGTCTTTTTGGCACGTGCAGTCTATGGCATTCATGCATGTTGCTTTGAAGGCTTGTGGTGGTTGTATTGTTGTGATCACATCACACGGTAATCCATCTAACATGGAGACGGTAAGTAAAGGTGGCAGCATGTACGTGCGTAAGAGATCCTTTGCAGCCATGTGGGTGTCTTCTTTGTCCTGCCGCTGCTGTACAGCGGGTAAAGGAATGAAAGGAGGAGGCACCATATGGAATTATCTTCCCAGCATGTGCTAGCAAAGTTTGAATGTGTGCAGAGCCTGGCATCTCAGCCCTTGCAGGGGCCAAACATGATCAACCAGTGTTGTGCGTGTGTCCTCAGTGCTGCTTGACACATGTCTAGTCGGATTAAGCCTGCAGTTTTTTTCTGCAATTGACCTCATTCCATGGTGCACTCAGTGGAACTGGGCAACCGTACGATGCGTATTTGACGCATGTATCAACCATACCCAACACAGATGTTCCCAAATAGGCACAAAAAAAAATCGCGTCGTTTCCAGGACAGGCCTGTTAAGTACTGATACCGGGGGAATTTGGCTGACGACAACAGCACAATGGGGGTCCCGCATCGCTTTCGATGCAGTTGGGTGTCGATCGTTCTTGTTTGCGAGGATGAAGTGCTTCAATAACACGCTACTTAGTGTTCCCTAACGATTGAAGGGGGCGCAGGACACACAACAAGGTCACGGATGGCTTGTGAACAACATCGCCGTTGTTCACAAAAGTGCGGGTGATGGAAGAAACGACAGGATTTGGAGGACGTCTAGTCGCTAATTGCGGCTTTTGGGTGTCCAGTGGTTCAACGATGCCAACAGCAGCGTGGTCGAGGTTTGCACCAGGGCCGTGCGCCTCCTGGAGGAGCTGGGTGTGTCGCTTAAGGCCATCAACATCCCCGACCTGGAGCTCCTGCGTGTGGCCCACACATGCACCATCGCCTCCGAAATGGCACAAGCCTTCAACAGGGCGTACAACGGCAGGAAGTGGAGGAGCCGGATGAACAATGACATCAGGGTGAGCCTTGGCATTGCCAGGGCCTTCACAGCTAAAGACTACGTACAGGCTCAGGTAACAAGGCACCATCTTCGCAAATTTGTATGTTGTCCAGACATGTTGCCGTTGTGTTTTGAACCATTCTGCGTCGGAAAAATTTGCCGCTACTCTTTTTGATGCGCATTTTGGTTTTCAGAGCGTTACTTTTATTAGTTTCACGTTGCTCCGCGTAATTAAAAAGCGTTATTTGTTTCATTGCTTTCTCCGCAAAAAGGGGCCAATCGCTACCTTACTATGCAGAAGGGTGTAAAACCCAATGTTTGGAAACCAACGGGTATTCAAAATTGGCCAATGCGTCAAGCCGTCGACATTACTATAGAACTTGCCTTCAAGGACATTGGGTAGGGCTGCTGAGACACAGTATGCTGGAAATTATGCAGCGCTTGTGATGCTGTCTTGGTCAGACTGGGAAATGAAGTCTGGATCGAAGCAGTGTGTTATCTCGCCAACTGGTGAGTGTGGCCCGCACCGCTGTGTGCTAGAATGTGCAAATCGTGAGGGAGAACGCATGGCAAATTGCGTTTCAGATTACTACAACAAATGCATTCACTGTATTGAAATGTAAGAAAGCAATCGCCTTGAGGCTTCCACGACAGCTCATCCATTGGCAGACAGTGCATTGGATTGAAGTTTGCTCTCAAGAGCATGGCGACGATTCGCACGGGCAGGTCTCTCCACCCAACAAATATCAAACAAATCGCACAACAATCTCTTAACTTTGTCAGCAATATAGTGCATTTGCAACACCTCCTATTGCCACCCCTATTGGTAGAGAACAGTGCACTGCATGGTGTCCGTGATACATAGCGGATCTCTGCAATGAAGAGGTAAGTGCAAAGTGGCTTGAAATGGAGGTCAGTGACTGTGTGAGCATGCAAAGCCATGAGCCAGCGCGGGGGCGAAATGGGTAGGACTGGACCGACCATTCCTCATATGCTATCCTTCCCTTGTGTGCAGAGAATTTTCCATAAAATTGAAGTGATACCCGCATTCCTTATTCGCCAGCGGGTCTCGCGTTTCCGAATTCGCCAATCGGGTTTGGATGCTGATGCACCGGGATCAGGCGGATAGAAATAGAGACATCCATAGAGGGCAGAGAAAGCAATCAAAGCGAATTGGATGGATTTTGGCGAATGTGCGGTTGTCTATCATTAAAGCACAATTCGTTTGCTCCTTGCGTCAGAGAATACGCGGCAGGATGATGGTGCACTTCAAGCGCGTGTTGAGTGACGTCGACTTCTTGGTCACTCCTACCGTTCCCATAACTGCCCCGCCTGTGCACCCCACAGCCCTGAAGACAAACGAATCCAACGTGAAGCTTACGTCCACAATCATGCGCTTCATGGCGGCCGCGAATTTCTTGGGGCTGCCTGCAATGAGCCTGCCAGTTGGTCACGACGAAAAGCATCTGCCCATCGGGTGAGCATCGCCGCACCTTTTCGCGCCTGCATCCAAGAGCGACGGTCATATGCCATCAGCGAGTGTGCTGGGAATGACATTCAATGGCTCCCAAGCGGCGGCTGCGGGGCTAAAGCAGCGGCAATGAAAGGCTGGGGATTGGGGGCGGCGCGTGCTGGGGCGGATGCTCCTTGTTGCACTGAAATCTCATCATCATCCTTCATGCCATGAGTCTGTCGGAGCTCAAGTGCTTGGCAATGCATCTAGCTTTTACATTCTCTCGGTGGAATAATTCGTGGATGGGAATGGGCGATTCGCCATTTGCCCCCATATGCTTCAGCCAAATAGTTTCCTAATGCGGGTGTACGAAAATGAGAAGCCCTGTGTCAAGTGGGGTTTGCGAATGTACCGGAAGATCACACCCATGTACATCAGATGACCCTGTGTGATCGGGACAACCTAGTGCTGTGTTTATCGCGTTCCTCGTGCCATTTTCACTTACGACAAGTGTGTGCTTCACTAATTCAGGCTGCAATTGATGGGCAAGCACTGGTCGGAGGCGACACTGTTCAAGGCGGCGAACGCCTTGGAGATGTCTCTGAAGAGTGGCGGGGCGTCTCAAGGGCTGCGCCCAGAGTTTCTGTCGCTAGGGACGAATCCGTTGGCTGGACTTTAGGACTTTAGGCAAACCTTTCAGCGTCTGCTGTGGCTGCATTGGTCCTAAGCCGTTGCCATTGCACCCACACGAATGCGATGGACGCTTTGCAACTAGAGTGGCTGTGCTGGGCGTGTTGTTTATTGACGTGTGCGTTTTCAACATTTTGAGTGTGGCCCTCCTGCTACACCTATGTGCTGCTGCGCGGAGCTACATACGTACTCATGCTTCGACGCTTCTGGAATCCTGGATCGATATTCGTGCTAGCTGCAGGGGCCTGAGAATTATATTCACAAGTGTGACGAAGAGCTCTGGGCGCTGTGCTGTGCTGCAGCAGAGCGAGCTCCCCACGGCCGCACCATTGCGTGGCATGGGGCTGTACAGCCCTCGTTGATTACGCAAGCCTTCTTTAGAGCTTTAAGTATGTGCTCCGGAGGCAATCTACCTTGTGAACGCAAGGGCCTCTGTGGTTATTGTTAATCTCTGCTCCGCAATGCAGTGCACACGGCACCCATTTGCCGTCGTGCGCTTGGGCAGCGCATGGCTACAGCTCAGCTATGTCTTGGCGTACATCCATTGCAGTGACTGTGTTTGCGTCCTGGACACTTGATAAACGAAATCGCTGCGGTTTTGCGCTGTCGGAGGCAGGCAGGATCAAGGTGGTGGCCCCTGACTAGGGACTGTAGGCTTGAGTACCGTAGATCAGGGATGATAGCCCCCCCCCCCGCGTTGAGCACCAGGTCTGATGTCAGGAATGCGGGGGGCGCATTCTGGCATGCCCGCCGCGTTCCGCATCGAGTCGATGACTCAGTAGCGCCCCTCCGCGTCGTCACACTGGCCGGCGTAACTGAAGGAAAGCGTACCGGCGCCTGGCCAATTCAACGCATTACATAAGGCGCCATTCACGGCAGCAATCATACCCGTTCACATAAAAGTGACGGGACGCCGCAGCTCGCTGCAATACGCCACACATACCCCTGCCGCCAGATTGACTGGCAAAAACGGACGGGCGCCTGGCGAATGTAGCACATTACATAACGCTACGTAAGGTGCCAATCACAATGCAAACCAGAAGCAACGAATGACAGCTAATGGAACGTCGCATTGCACTACGCTGTGCCGGCCACCATGTCAATAGTACAGAGCTGCATGTGCAGTGCAGCATATATGTATGGAGGATTCGTAAGTACCATACTCCATGAAAGTATGGAGTTGGAGACTGAGAATCTTGGGGACATGTGTTTGATTGAAGGAGAAATATCATGGCACTGTTTAGTTAGAGTGGATTTTATAACATTGGGGTGATGGCACACGCATGAGATGTAAGAATGTGTGAGAAGGCTTTTGAACCTGCAATTTTATGTGATGCTGAAGCGACTAGTGCACACTGCACATCCCCACCCCACCCCCCACCCCGTGCACTATCTTGCACAACCCCGGCGTTCTGCAACACTGGCCATGTTCGATAACGCTGGGGGTGCTATCTAAAGGCCCCTGCACTATTCAATACTTCCTGCGCTATCCACCGCGATTTACAGTACATGGCAAGGGGTCACCGCCGAGCAAATTTGCTCCTTTAAAGGGACAACAGGAGTTCTCTCCCTTAGATCCAGTCCGTTCATCAATGTCTTTAAATGCAATTTCCAATGGCTCATCACCTCTATGCGTCCAGCTGTTAATAATACTCGATCGGTTCTAGTTGCAACGGTGCCTTGAGGACCAGCCGCGCGCAGCGGTTGTGGCTGGGGCACCACGGCGCTGGTCAGGCTCACGTGACGCTGACGTCACGCCTGGCCACAAAAAGGCCCTGACCCGGAGCACAAGCCAGAAGCGCGCAACAGCACCCTCGACATGTTTTTGTCTGCGTCACAGCGGGCAATGTTGGCGGACAGGTCGCTCCCGGCCTCTGACGAGGTCGAGGAAGGGGACTATCTCCTCAGGGCCCCCGCAAACCCGGTGTATCGCGGCCTGAAGCTCAAGCTCTTCATAAACCTGGTTGTAGAAGGCCCCCTGTTTCGGCTGTTTAGGGGCAACATTGCGAAACGGCTTGGAGTTCCACAGGTGCGCTGGCTGTTGTGCTTCCGAGCGGGTCGTGTCACGTCCCGAATGGTTGCAGTGATTTCGGAATGTGTTCAGGGAACTGTTGGGGGCTGACAGCGTGTGGGACCTGCGCCAATGGGCGCTCAATGCGGCTGCCGGTGTCTCAACAATGGTCTAAGCATTGGGAATGTGCCATTCAAGACGCATGAAACTCACCATGAAACGTGAGGAATGTCCATTGCGACCCTGATTTTCTCTCCTCTCCCAATTGAATAACATTGGAATCGAATTGAGCATTTGCCATTTTTCCAGTACTTGCCTTACCTCAGTCACAGAAAGTGCGAGAAGGGCAAAGCCTGCCAGCTGATAATGGCCATGGTCTGTAAGTCAAGCCGCTTGCTGCAAGCAGAGACAAGCATGCAAGTTAATGCAAATTGTGTGGACGGAATCATGGCCTCCAATGCCGCAAGCATGCTAGTGCACTGACCATTGAAATCACATCAATTTTTGAAGATTGCAGCCACATATTTGGCACAGGTTCGTCAAGGTACGTATTGGTTGTTACAGGTGCTGTCCAAAGTCGACATACCCGAGGCACCCATGTTTGTGCCAGAGCATTGGCCCCTTCCTGTTGATGTCGCTGGGACAGTGTCGGTTCCAGCATCTGCATCCCCCAAAGAAAGGCTGGAGGCAGCAATCGAAGTCATCCCAAACTTTTTAGAGTCTTCAGCTGCTGGCAGGTCTCCGCATAGACCTGGTCTGAGGGAATACCACAGGGCATACACAAAAGGTATTTCTTGTATAGAAACCAGTGTTAAACTAAGGACACATAACCTGGTATGTGTTCTTCAGCAGGCACAGTTTGTTTGGTTGGGTGCATTTTCGTTGGGAAAAGAATCCAAGGGCACTGGATTGCCCAGATTGTCTGGCAGATCGAAAATGGAGTTCTTGCTGCCACAAGTGTGCCCATGTACCTGCGGACTGAGCAGGGCAAAGGCGTCTTTGTCGAATTTCCACCTTGTGGTTTGACATGGAATGGACCTCTCTGAGCCAAGTGCCGCCAACCGCTCTCTATGAACTGTGCAGTGCAGCAAATATCTGGTTTTGGAGCGACATACCAATCACATTCATGGCTGGAAGACCTACTTACAGTTAGTGACATGTACCAGATCCTGGAGAAGAAATGCAAACCTTGGCCAAGAGGGATGCAACTTGTCACAATGTGATGAGCCCAAACAAGCATACCATCACCCAGATTTCTATTGAGACAGGGTGTGGCTCAATACAATTTTGAATTATCACCTCATGGCATCCAAACCTGTACATGCAACTGTGCCCACATTTTGTTTTCCTCTTCTAAAACTTGTCAACTGCCCAGTGTGTGTACAACTCTTTTGTACAACTTCTGGATCCTCAAAGAGAGAGGATCACATGGCACATGGAAGCTATCCCCCGCCTCAGCAGGATGTCTGAGACTCCTTTTCATGCTGCCATCGTGCAGAATCTCCAAGCACAGTAATTATTGTGGAATAGTAGGGTCGAGCACATGAACGGACCCGCTTCCTTTTCAACAGCACTATTGGGTGCATGTGGTGGCATAACGTCTCTCATTCTGTCACTGCAGTTACTGTTGTTAAAATTTGCACATTATGCCCTCTTCACTAAAGCACCATCCCAAATGTCCATGAAATTTTCGGTCATTTGCCTGTGCCATTAATTGGGAATCAAGACATGCAATCGTTTCATCCATCTTTTTGTTCATTCGTCACATTTTTCACTATATTTTCTATTGTTTCTTTTGTTTTTTCTGCTCCTACAAGGAACGTGCACACCGTGGGATGTGGCAAGCCGAATCGTCAAGTTTCTGAAATCCAAGCCCACGTATATTTTCATCTCATGGTCTGGAGATGATATCTTGAGACAAGCCCAGGAGTCGACACAGCGATACAAGGAGGGAAGACAATTGTCAGTCCTGGATGGTGTGCCATTCACCATCAAGGATTCGATCGATGCCATGCCTTATGAAACAACCGGCGGAACGCAGCACTTGCATTCATGGTATTCACTAGGGTCCAGGGCAGCAACTGATTGGCAACATCTCTGCCTGGTTGGTTTTTGAGAATGGCCACCTCATTGTACAACAAACCCAAGGATTGCAGTACCTGGATTGGAAAGTGGCATCCATGTGGTGCCCGGCGCCATGAGGTTACCATTTGTTCACTTGATGGTGCTCTTACCTTATTCAAATGCGGAAATAACCTTCTTCAAGGGTGTCATCCTTCAGTGTTGTCAGAATTTATTTGTCACAGTAGGGATTTCATTGCCAGATTCAGCATGTGCTGAATTGCTTTACAAGACTCAGTGTGCAGCTGTTGTGCAGGCGGAAACCTAAAGTTGATTCACCATGTGTGGCTACACTGAAATCGCTGGGTGCCATGCTCATTGGGAAAGCGAACATGCACGAGTTGGGCATGGGCATTACCGGCATCAACACATACACAGGCACCCCCATCAGTCCTTGGCGTGCAGGCCATTGCTGTGGAGGCTCATCATCGGGGAGCGCTGCAGCAGTGGCATATGGTCTGTGCCCCATTGCAGTGGGTGAGCAGAATTTCACGGGCGACAAGTGCTAGGTGTACCATGACTATTTGTTGTTACGAGATTTGCCAAAGTTTTGGCCAAAGCTCGACCAAAGCTGCAGGATAAATGCATGTTAATTCATGTGTGGGTGGCTGTCCATTCTTGCTTCAGGAGTGGACGGTGGCGGATCAACGCGCATACCTGCATCCCTATGTGGCCTTGTTGGCCTGCTGCCCACAACCCAGCGAGTAGGCAAGCAGGGTCACCCCACAAGTTTCACCATCGCACGTATTGGCCCAATAGCCACATACGTGGAGGACGCCCTCATCCTGCACACCTTGATCAGTGAGGCTGGATCGGCGGGAGGGATCCCTCCACTGATCAGCTTGCCAGAGAGCTTGTACACTGGCGAATCGAGCGACAGGCCCCTGGCTGGACTGAAAATGGGCATCTACTGGCAGGTTGGGCACATGTCGGGATGTGGTGTGGTGTAGGGTGCTGGGCAAGTATGGAGCGGCTTGTTTATTGTGGGAAAGAAGCCACTTGGAATGTAATATGGCACTGTGTGCAGCATGGCAGTGGAAACATAGTGCCCTGGAAGTGTGTGTTTTGTGTTAATGTGAGGTGGCTCTGCTCTTCTATCACTGCTATTGGCACAACTTTGTGAGTTTATGTTGACTCCTTGGTGCTTCTTCTTGTTAATGATCCAAGCTCCAGTGTGTCAGCAACTCAGATCTGTTGTGCCTGTGGTCAGAAATACCTGGTTGGATCCATTTGATTCTTTATTGGATTGATGGACAGCGGGCTGGACAGTGCCACCGCTGTCTAGCCGCACCCATGTTGAGTGTACAAACCCACTCAACGTACTTTGGCCTGATTCGCATGGCCTCCCAAACTACTGCCCTGTATCGGCCATTTCGTTGCAGAGCACCACAAGGCACTTCACTATTCAGCAGAATATCATCCTTTACAGTGTGCACCGGGAACTGTCTTTCTTTCCACTTGTTGTTTCTTGGCTTGTATTTTGGTGGTTTAGAGCATGAAGGCATGTTGCCCATTTTGGTCCTTGTGTAGTGGCACTTCATGACTGTCTGCAAAGTTCACCATAAGATTTGTTGAAGTGTATATGATTGCAGTACAACACCAGCATGAACTTCATTGATTGCAGTTGTTGCAGATCTGTGGCCAGTGACGCCCTGGCATTTGCCAAGGATGACGAGGACACACAGATGCAAACGGTGTTTATTTATTCAATGACCCAAGAACATAAAGCTTTGCATGCCACCCAGTTGCGCAATGTGAAATATGGGTCACTGACAGCACTTTAGCCTAACATCGTGTTCTGTGTGCCAGTGGTTCACAGACGCCGATGACGATGTTGTTGAGGCGTGCAGACAAGCAGTGACGCGGCTTGAGTCCCTGGGCGTTGTGAGGGTGGCGATCAACATTCCCGATCTGGAACTGATGCGCGTGGCCCATGCCTGCACAATCGCCTCTGAGCAGTGCGAGTCCACAAACACGCCATATGTGAGCAAGAAATGGCGGAGGCAGATGAACAACGACGTGAGGATGGGGCTTGCAATGGCCAGGACGTTCACATCCCGGGACTATATCCATGCCCAGGTGCGAGCTAGTGTGTGCATGTGTGTTCCTTGTCTGCATGTTTTGGAGGGTGGCAAAGCACCACCAACACAGTTTCAGTGCAGTGCTGGCCACAAGCGCCCATCAGACTGTACAATAATGTTGCACCGGAGCTTGGCACGGTGGTGCGTCATTGTCTGCGCATCTCACACTCTGCCACACTTGCAGGTGTCTGCTTCTGTTTGCCTACCACGGTTCGAGTCCTGCCCAATGCCAATGTTCCATAAGCTGTATAGCAAGCCATGTGGTAGCACCCCAGGGCGATGGATGGCAGCTGGCTATTCAGTTCAAGTTCAGAGAATGGACGCTGTTGAGATGTGAATGTCTGGGCACACATGGCATAAATGCTATCACACTTATCCTGCAAGCACGGATAATGGGGTACCTTGGAATGACGCATTGAAGTCGGCTCAGATGCGCTTGCAAGGCCGCATAGCCAGACTTGTGCCACACCAGTGGCTGTACCTAAATGGCAGGGGTGTTGTTTTGCTGAAACAGAGAGTTCGGCGAAGGATGAATACCCATTTCAAGAAGGCAATGGCCAACATCGACATGATCGTGACGCCAACAGTTCCCGTCACTGCTCCAAGGATTCACCCCACTGCACTGAAGTCGAATGTGATCGATTCGGAACAGGTGTTTACTGTCATGCGCTTCATGCTGGGCCCCAATTTCTTGGGGCTCCCTGCAATATCGGTGCCCGTTGGGAGGGACTCCGACGGACTGCCCATCGGGTGAGCTTGTCAAGCGGGTCCTTTCGTTTGCATCCTTCAAACAGTGCCAATACATATTGATTGCGTTGCTGCAGATACTACGACAGTGTTCTGCCCTTTTGATTGCAAAACGATGTCCAGCACTGTTCACAGTTGCACCCATTTCTCCACGACGTCTTAGTTTCCCTGACCTGCCACGCAGCCCAAAGTACCGTCTGCGTGTTGCACATGCGTCACAACTTCAGGCCTTGAGCTTTTTGCTGGATCTCCTTCCTAATGACATCTCTTCCACTGCTGTGGTCCAATGTTGGCCACCGCTTGTCGAAGCTTGCAGCATGTGGGTGCTCTGCATGCTGCAGAAATTTGCAGGGCCTCTTCTATCCAATGTTTACTTCACCATGAAAGGCTTCGATGCAGCCATGGACATCTCGCATAGCCGCTGGGAAGACATTGAAATCGAGTGGCACTTAGTCTTGCATAGATCAGGATTTTCTTGCAGATTTGATTGATGGATCTGGTTGAAAACCGCGTTTGTGAACTTTGGCTTCGCCTTCAGGTCGTGGATGTGTAGTTCAGGTGCTAAATGCAGAGCTTTGATTTCGCGTGGCTCACGTGTGCATTCCACCCGCTTGTTGTTTCGTTCAGGCTCCAGCTCATCGGCAAGCACTGGTGCGAGCCACTCTTGTTCAAAGTGGCGTCTGCGTTGGAGAGGCAGACACGAGAGTACACGGCCGTACCTGGCTCGGCAATCAACCCTCTCACGGCGGACTGAAGATTCCCACGGCCTCACCGGTTCTTCTTTTCATGCGTTTGTCCAGGGCGTGTGAAGGCGCACCGGCGCCCACGTGCTCCACACGACGCGTTTCCCAACGTATGCTCTGGCAGGAGTGATGCCGGACTTGTTCATGTAACACTATTTAACGGGCGTGCGAATCGGACGTTAGATAGCAGTCTCCCTTGCAACCCCCAGCCCTCGATCGTACCGTGTGTTCCCTGCTGTGCTCGCGGGCGATCAGCCCACATCGGCTGCCCAGCCACCTTCTGTCGACTTGGGCTCGTTGAGAAATGCTCATCCCCGCGTGCACCAAGCTCCAAACTCGCTCTGAGAGCCTTGCTGGCGGCCTTCTGCGCCTTCGCCACCCGGCATGAGGATTGTCTGGTCAGTCGCCGCTGCGCGCCCACCCCTGCCGAAGGTGGCAAGCGCACGACCGACGTGCACGGCCGTGCGGCAGCGAGCAATCCGACGCCGATCGCCAGCTTTTCACTTCGCCCAAGGCTAACAGAGGCAGTGGCTCGGCAAGGGCGACGGCACCGTCGGAAGGGGACGCGCATGTGGGTGCCGCTTGGCACCTTCGGACGCTCCGCAGCGCGGGGCCTGTTCCGATGTACAGGAGGTTCCTGAGAGATACTCCGTATCGCCGTACATGTTGACGGACCCAGATCCCGGTCGTCATTTCCCCTTGCCGCCTTGATGTCGAATGTCGGCAGACCACCCCAGTGAACAACCCCTCCCCTCGTGATGGCTTGAGCGATGCGCCGCGCCGCCCCCGCCTTGTCAAGCGGATGGCAGACGCCCTCGCGGAGGGCAACGCGAGCCTGACAAATCGCTTCAGCCGAGGAGATCCCGTCGTCGAGGAGCGTCCGGGGCGGCGGCGCGGGGTACCTGGCACCACCCCAAGGCGGCGCTTGAGGCGCGAGGCGTGGGAGGGCTGAGCGCGACGCGACTGTTGGCGCCACAGAGTGAGTCGCGCAGGGCGCGTTGCGCGCGGTCGAATGCCGCCCGCCCACCCGGGGAAATGGGGCGGCGATCCGCGGTGGCTGCGAATTTTGGGGGGGATCTCTTGGCGCCGGGACGGGCGCGGAGTGGGCGCATCGCGATGGACGCTTTGGGCTGGACGGGGGTGCTTCTTGCCAGGGCTGGGTGCCTGGGCGTGCATTGCGCGCGGCGAGAGCGTTCTCGCTTCACCCCGTTGGTCGACTCGCCCAAAGGTTTGAGGCGCCATACTGGCGGTCAGAGTGTACGCGCCGGCAAGCAGGCTCCGGCCTTGGTACACCCGGCGATTCGTTGGTTCCAGTTTTTCACCGCTCAAACAATTGGAGAGCGGATCTTAGCGTTTGCGGGGCGTGCTTTGGCCTCGTGCTGTTTGGCAAGGGGACTAGGGCTCAGCGAAGGGCTGCTGGCGTCCCACAGGGACTGTCGGTGAAAGATCAGGCTGGTGGTAGAAGTTTCTCGTGGCGGATGGCTCTTTCACGAGTCCTGCGAAGCATGGACGGGAATGCGCCGCTGTTCTTCCAGTCCTTGCCGCCACGCATCCCCGTTTAGAACCCTCGAACGCCGTATGCAGCTGTCGAGATAAGGGGCAGTGTGTACAAGATGGGAAGAAGGGACAATGTCCGGATGTCTCGCTGCCTGTTGTCGTCTCGAAGATGCGCAGGGCCCCCAATGAACTTCCGATTCAACGATTGCTGGCTGTATTCCCAGACCGTGATGATGACATTGCCGCTTATCGATTGGACGATCCAATGCCAAGCCGATGTCGATTCAAAATTAATCACTTTCCTTCCTTCCTACTTTGCTAGCTCTCAGATAGGTGTCGCTTTCGCGGGTCAGACCACGTTGAGGGTATCTGGGAAGCTGCATTGCTATTGAGGCGGGCTTGTCGCTGGTCATGCCTGTGTCATATGATTGCAACATTCTCGTGTTGGGTTTTGTGCATTTTCAAGCGATCGGACAGTCACAACTGCAGCAGATGAACAGGGGCCAGCAAAGCACTGACTTGTGCAAAGCATGTTCCTTATTGCCGCACCATGGTCACTTTTCAGCAAGAACATCGTTTGGATCGCCTCATGCAACATGCCTCTGCCATTTCCCACATTTTTAGATGGCGAAAGCGAGAGTAGCGTGTTGCAGAGCTGATTTGTTTGTTGGGTTGTTTGCAGCTCGGTTCCCAGAGATGTGATTCCATCCCATTTTCAAGAACTGCGCTCTGGATGCAGGGCACAAGTTCTTGTCACAAGGCGGACTCACGACTTGTTGTGCCTTTGTGTGGAACAAGGTCGACCTGTGTGACGTTTGGCCCACCCCACCAGACAATTGGAAGGCCAAGGCAGCCGGTGCTGGTGCTGCAGGGCAGCCATGGCCCCTTACCAATACAACATGGAGCACCGCTGCATCTCAGAATGCGCGGCCTCCTTCTTGTTCATATTTCTAATGGAGTCCCTTCTGGCCAACAAGCTGCTTCCCAAGACCAAGGGTCACAACATTGGTTTTGGCTTCGTGGCTGTGGGGGTGGGCTTCTCCGTGTTCATTGCACTCCAGTGCTTCGGCTTCATCAGCAGTGCCCTCAATCCTGCTGTTACTCTTGCATTCACCATCCTGGGTGACATCCCGTGGAACCACTTCCCTGCAATCGCGGGCTCCCAGGTTGGTGTGGCATCTTATCCAGCAGTGGCTTGACAAGGAGTCGCGTGGTTGCAAGTCCTAATAGAATAGAAAATCCTAACAGAATAGGAAATGGATGCATTTCAGCACTTTCAAAACTTGAGGACAGCGGCAGCATCATGCCCTCTTCAAATGGGTGATTTTTACCCAGGTATCAACATCGTCCAGGCGCAAACATGCATGTCTGAACTCAAAGATAGCTGCCGCACGTTTTCGCATTCTTTGCACGGTTACCTCTCAAGGCTCAAAGCAATTCCATGTCGTTCATTGCTCAAAGCAATTCCACTCCCAGCGTGGAAATCTGTCAAGTCATGTGGGCTGTTACCAGGCACACGCCGCTGGAAGGTCTGCAACTGGATCACAGCTTTCAGTCCTATTTTGTCGTCGGCTTTTCTTTTCACAAAGTTCCAGGGTTTGGTTCGTTTTGTACTGAATGTCCTGTAAACTTTAGTCCAATTCCATTCAATGTCCTGTACCCATCTGTGGCGAATCGCTTCATTTCCGATCTTCTCACGGACAAGGTATCTTGGAAGTGCAGAATTGGTGGTTTGTCATCCAATGGTTCGTTGCAACTGCTTTTCTTGAAAAAAGCAGTGGAGTTGAATACTGCCTGCTTGATAAGTGATGTGTCCTGATATGCTAACTTGCTCCATTGCCTGAATTGAACGTCTGTACGTGTGTAGTTCAGTTTATATACTGTGAACGTCTTCAGTGATCATGAAGAAAAGAATGTATGAAACCCAGTGAGGCTGCCTATTGCCTTTATGTAGACCATACTTGGCCTTAACAGTGATGGGCCCATGACTGCTGTGGATATGGGTGGGTGCACTGGAAAGTATAAACCAGGGCGATGGTGAGCGCATGATTCACAGATTGTCTCGCAGTTGGTCCCAGTACAGTGAGGAATCAAAGCTGTCTCGGATGTTTTCATGGTCGGACATTTAGCCAGAGTCACTTCTTAGGCCAAGTCGGAAATTGTGCTTGATTTGTTGACGACGATGTGCAGGTTGATCGTTTTCGGTTTCGTGAATTCATGCGCCATCATAAGTAGAACATTGGTGGTAATATTACTGCCACAGTGCCCCCAGTGCTCACCCAACAAATCATCGATGCCACTGTGCATCGTCCTTCGCTTTTACATAACAAGGCAAGGATGTAGCCTTCAGCTTCCTGTGTTGCCCGGGCGAAGCAGTGTCCATGATTTGTTCGTTGAATTCTAACGCATAGCACTGACGAATGCAGGCAGGGTCGAGGGGTGGCGACCCCTGACGGGGACCATAGACTCGGGTACACGGCAATGGTTTACAGCCGAGCAAAGGGGCAACTGGAACTCTGTCGTTCGTATATCCAGTCCATCAATCACTGTCCTTGATGCAATTCTCAATGCCTCACCACCTCTGTATGCGTCCAGTTGTTAACAATACCTAATCAGTTCCAGTCACGGCAACACAAACAAAGCCCAGAAACACCGCTTTTCCCGTGCGAAATGGCGAACTGACCGCCGAGTCGCCTCGACATGCGCAAAGCATCCCGATCGACTGACTGGGCATCATCTCCCACCAGGTGCTGGGCTCCTTCCTGGGCGCCGTCGTTGTCTGGCTCTTCTACATGCCGCACTTCAGCACGGTGCCCGAACCGCCGCCCAAGAAGGACGAGGACCGCCTGCTGCGCACGCGCGACGACCTGGGTGACAGCGCCTTGCGCTTCGCCTCTTACAACACTGCCCCCCCGCTCCACACCCTCTCGTCCCGACTGCGCTCCTTCGGCCGCATAGGCTCCCGCGCCTACAGGGCTGAGGACGTCCTTGGCAGGGACGCCGTGCTGGGCCGCCAGAGGCGGCTGGAGCGGCGCCGATCGGTGTCGATCGCGGACCTGCATGAGCGCCTGGTGCAGCTTGAACAAGTGCACGGGGGAGAGCCTGTCTGTTCGACAAGAAGGAAGCGGCAGCGCGCGACCGGGAGTCTCAAACGGAACGCCCTGGGGACCCACGAGGAGGAGATGAGGGCGAGGGTGGACGGCCACCCCCTGCGCAGTGGCAGCCTGCAGGCGCTGGTGCAGCACGAGCAAAAGAGCGACCTGTACTTCGCGGGGGCACCCCCGCCAGGGCCCGAGGGCCCGCCGTCGTTGCGGCCGGACGACGCGACGGAAGCGGCGACGGAAGAAACGACGGAGGATGGGGAGGGGGGCAGGCGCGGCGGGTCCGCGAAGTTCGCGTTCGGGCGGCAGGCCGGGCGGCACCTGCGCAGCAAGCTTCGGAGCGCCTTTGCCATGGACGTCCCCACGCGGTCGGACCGCCTGCTGGATGCCAGCATCGTCGCGGACCAGAACGCCAAGCTGTCGGTGTTCTGCATGCGGCCGTCCATCTACGACCCGCTCCCCAACCTCCTGGCCGAGGTCATCGCGACGGCCGTGCTCATCGTTGGCGTCTGCCTCATCTCCGAGAGGGGCACCATGCTGTTCGAGCCTGCGGACGGCCTGTACGTGCACGCCATCAGGTCGCTGTACATCGGCCTGCTGTTCGTCGTGCTGGTGCTCAGCCTGGGGGGCACGGGCGTGGCCATGAACCCCGCGAGGGACTTTGGCCCCCGGCTGGCGCACTACCTCCTGCCCATTGCCGGCAAGGGGCAGTCGGAGTGGTACTATGCGTGGATACCCATCGTCGGCCCTTTTATCGGCGGGGCGATTGGCGTGGGGCTGCATAAGGCGCTCCAGATGCTGAACAACTCGTCGGTCGAGGGCGGATATTACGACGACGAGATCGGAAGCCTGTTGGATGCCTCTGGCTCGTGATGCCTGCGCACGAGGCGGGCGTGCCACGGGGGACGCTGGTGGATGCTCTATGTCGCAGCGAAGTTAGACGTCATCACTAGACATCTGTGAGAAGACGAATTCGCGTGGGGATAGGTGTTGGGATGAGTGCTTGCTGGATATTCATTTATGAGAATGCCAAATTGGTCACGGGGAATTTTTGGAATGGGGCGACTGGTGCATGGCTTTTCTTTGAAGGGGGTAGAGGTCCATGCCCACGTCAAGTTCTGGGATTTCAATTGAGTAATGGAGAAACCAAGACAAGAACCAGTGCATGTTGTATAATTCACTTTGTGTTGGCTTGCAATGATGCTTCATGCCATTCCTCATCGACGTTATACTGAGCAAAGCATGGAGACGAGCATATTTCGTCAAGGATGTCAATGGATTGGTTCCTTCTGTCACCTGGCAAGCTGTCTTTGAGCGAGAAGACCTCGCATTGACATCCTTATGCTTCAAGGGGTTGAACAATGACTAAAAGGGTGCCGCATCGACTGCCAGTGCAAAACACTGTAAATTGACTTAAGGATAAGGCATGTCGACTGGAGCAAAGGCAATGGGCAAGCCAGATTGAGCATATCAGACCGTCTCTGAAGCATCAAGAATTGCAGCACACGAGGTGATTGGAGCACGATATTCACCTACTAATGCGATGATGCAGCAATGTTGGTGTTCGGCTGGCTTCAGGCAATGTCTGAATTGATCCAGGAGCAATGCACGAGAAATGACCAACTGCTTCGCTCAACGTGCTTTGGACGCTGTGCCAGGTGTGCTTGAGCAGAGTGCTTGCACGCCTTGCCCACAGAAATTAAGGAAAAAGGAGCCGTCACGCCACAACTGTCAACCGCCCCGCCACTCAGCACCAAGGCAAAGTCCCCCCTTCTAGGTGCCTTCACGTCCGATCTTGGGGGAGTGGTTCCCCCCTTACCCACACGTTCCAGAACGCCACGCCAACAGCATAATGTGCCGTGGCCACGGCGAAGACCAAAGACCACGAGTGTGTCTGCTCCAAAATCCCCCCCACAGCCCACACGCCTACAAAGCCGGCCACGGTCGCTGCAGTGTTCCCGATCCCAAAGATGGCACCCGCGTGCTTGGGAGCGACGTCCAGGTGGCTCACGCTCACCCCTGCCAGGGAGAAGGCGCTCAGTCCCAGGCCCAAGGTTATCACTGTTGTCACAAAGTCAACCGAGCTGGCTACCGACGGCTGAGTCGCCAGGAGCAGGCACACCGCAGGTCCCAGCATGCCAACCGACTGAAAGACCCGCCTGACAGTGACAACGTGCCAGCCCCTGGCCAGGAGCCTGTCCGCCATGGGGCCAGCCACCATGCCCACAAGGAACTGGACGATGTAGGGGCCCAGGGTGTACATTCCAACGTCCTTGACCTCAATCTCGAAGACGTCGTGGAAGTACCTGGGCAGCCAGTTTATGAGGGTGTACATGCCCCAAGACTGCGTGTACTGGGCGATGCAGATGGCCAGGACGGGCTTGGTGGCCATGAGGGGGAGCAGCTCCCTGGCTTCCGAGATCCATGAGGCTCGGGCACCCTGTGGGGATGCCAACGGTCTGATTTCAGTGATGATGCCCCCTGAACCCCTGTCCTCATCCGGGCCATTCCATGACATCGTCCCTTCAGTGTCATCACCGTTGGCATCTTTGGGGAAAGCCTTCCTGCTCTGCGGTGTCTGGGAACTCACTGCCATGGGCAGCCAGAATGGGATCCAGAACAGTGCCAGTCCGCCAAACAGGTAAAACACCCATGGCCAGTCCCAGGCACCGATTATGAGGGGGCTGACAAAAAACGCCAGCACTGTCCCGGCGTATGATGCAGAAGTGGCGATGGACGCCGCTGAGGACTGGAATGAGAAAGGGACATTGTTGGAGATGATTGAATGAATCGCTGGGAAAGCCACCCCTTCGCCGAGACCAAGCACAATGCGGTTGGCAATCAGGACAGGCCACCCCGCCCTTGCAGCCTCTGGAGTCAGAAATGTGCACAGGGACCAGATGGTTATCCCGCCAGCAAGGACCCCCTTGCCACCAGCCTTGTCGCTGAGCGAACCCCCAATGACCTGGGTGATGGCGTAGCCAACAAAGAAAACTGACAGGATGAACCCCTGCTCTTCTTTGCTCCAATCGAACTCTTTGGCCATGGGGATTATGGCAGTGGAGACGTTTGTGCGGTCCGCGTAGCTGATCACGACGCTGGCAGTGCACATTGCCATTATCCAGGCCCACGCTGGAGGCTTCCACCATGGGGACTGCGTGTCGCGTGGTTGGCCCTGCAGAGGACTCTGGAGGAGGCCAGCAGTGTCGTCCTCTATCTGGTTCAGCTCGTCATCTTCGCTTGTCGTTGGGGGCACTTGGGAAAAGGATGATGTAGAGCTTGCCATTCTGTCCCCTTCAGAATCGAGCTGGCAAAGTGCAATGGACCTCCTCTCGCCCGCTGGCCTGCTGAGCTGTCCTCCAATGCCTTGAGAGAAGATCGCAGGCCTAAATAGACACAAAGTTCGACCCAAAGCGGCTCAGTCACCTCACAAGGCTGCCTGCCAACAAGCTTCAAGTCTGTGGCGTCGAGGTGAACAGTTGCCAGGGCCAAACAACAGGGTTGGCAAGGAAATGCTGCAGCAATTTAAGGATCCCTAAACTGGGAACAGGCAGGGACGGACCGCATCTGCGCCAAACGAATTTTCCAGGATGAAGTGGAGAATTTCCCTCGTTGTACTGGCTGTTCTGGTACAAATATGGACAGTCTTGCTCTTCAGAACTGTCAGTTCTAATCCAAGGCACACCCGGAAACCTGTAGCGGCTTACGGGCGCAGTCATTGCGGCCCCTGATCAACTCAATCATGGGGCTTTTTTCTGTGTTCAGCATCGTACAGTGGACACAAACGGGCCGCTTGCCGCCAGAACAGCAGGGTGATTCGGCATACGCAAGAATGCGACATCTGCAGCGATGCCCAAGGCCGACCATCATTTTGAGGGTAACCAAAATCGGCGCCAAGTCGCCTCACGTCCCCTGAACCCAACTGGCCACGTCGGCAACGCCCCCCACACAGTCCCCCCGTATACATCCGCGCAGACGGCGCTGCCATCAAGAGACATTGGTTTCCGCGCATCGCGTTGCCACACGCCGACGACATTCGCCCTTCCCTCGCATACCTACTTCCCGGGCCCCTCCCCTGCAATCTCTGCAGGACGGACATTCGGTTGGCCGCCATCATGGCCCCGGGTGGTTGGCATGACAGCCAAAGACGCCCAAGATGCCGCCGCCACTTCTGCCAAACGCCGCAGCGCAATCGTTAGGCGGTCGGAGAGGCTGCCCGGTCGGCGTTCCTGTGCAAGCCGCGACCCAGGCGGGGTGCCCGAGGGGCCGGAATGGAAAGTGTGATGCAAGGCAGCAAGGAGGTGTGGGTAAGAGCGTCCCCTTTGGGTGCAGCAGGGATGCCACCGGGAAAGGAACAGGAATGCCAAATGGCGGTTGTCGGAAATTAGGCAGCGGGCGCTCGGGGGAATATGTCGTGCTGCGTACGCTCTGTGCTTGGTAAGAATTGAGCGTTCACAGCACAGAGCATTACCGCAGGCGTGCATTCCATAACGTTAACGTAATCTGCAGCACTGTAAGCGGGTGTCTTAAGCTCCTGCCCTTACAACTGCACCGTTGCGTATACCGTCCTATACCGTACTGCAGCAGTACTACTGCTCACCCTGCTTGAAAGCATGGGATGGAAGCAGTTCTGCAGTACACGCACGACTGTGAAACTTATGAGGTCTCCTCGCATCAAAGGACCTTTTTGCGTCCCCAGCCATGTTTTTTAATGGCAACACCAACATCCCCTTATCAATCAGGCGCATCCGTGCATCGGCTGAATTCTGATCCCAATTTGGAGTGCGGCACTAGAATTGCACATGCACATGCACCGATAATCCTGTAGTGGCATTGTTTCGCTTTGTCACTTGCTGCCTAGGGTGTCGAGCACCTTGGCACTGAACCCCGTCGTCAAGCTGTTCTCCCAGGCACCTTGACTGTAAAGGGCGCCCGCGCTGGGCACACTCCCCAGGCACGCGCCCACTGCACTTCCTTAGTCGCCCCAACGTCTTCTGGATGACATCATCCCTCTGGCAAAGCTGCCACGCCCCCTGACACGGATGGTTAGTCACCGGCTGGCACGGAGCACAGGCTTCTAAATCCTACCACAGGCCGCTCTTGTCCCCATTCTGGCCCCAAACGCCTCCATCACATCGAATTGGATGTTTGCGGCTCGAACCGCAACAGGCCTCCAGGATAGAAGCTCCGACAACACTTGGGGTTTTTGTCCCGCAATGGAGGGACGAGACACGAAATATGAGGAGACTTGGAGCGGCTGTAGGCGCCCCCTTGGAGCAAGGTCCTCTTGGGCATGCGGCGGGAGATGTTGAATAAAGTCCTTGCGCTTCTGAGGGCCGTGCTTCCATCTCAGTCGCCTTCCCTCGGTCCAGGCGCTTCTGCCGGGAGAGCAGCGAGTGTTGCGTCCACCGGAACGTTTCTTTGGGTCAGGCCTTCCGTGTCGAAAGATCCGAGGAGTTGCGCGCCAAGCAGCCTGTTGATGCGATGCCCCCCCCGCGTGACAGTGGGGAAGCGAGTCTGGGAAGCCGCTTTAGACTTTGCACCTCACGCAGTCTGTATGAGGTGCAACCCTGGTTCGGGACCAGGTTTGTTCTCTGTGTTGTGGTTTTGGTCAAGAACAGGCTTGATCTTTGCATTTACGGCACCACTTTTACTTACATTCCATGCGTTTTACGCATGAAAACGCGAGAACACAGTTGCAAATTTTGCACGTAAAACGCAAATATTGTTTTCTCCTCTAAAGGCGCAAATACGCGCTGTGTTCACGCGGTGATGACCAAGCCTGGACAAGAAAGTCAACGTAGTGCAAGACTGATAGATGCGCAATGCTAGCGGAGGCTGCCTCCTTCTTGGGAAGGCTCTACGAAGCTGCCATCGGCTGATTTGGTTATCCATCCCGTTGACTATTGGCAGTGAATGGCCGCCCGCGCCACAATTGGTTTGCAGTCTACAGAGCTTAGTTCCATCAAGCGAATTCCGTCAAGGCCTTCACGATGCGCCTCTTTGAATTGTGCCACATGCAGCTGTATGCGCATCGTGAACGCGTTCATGGAATTTGGCCAGCATTTGCGGCAGCAAACGATGTTAGTTGCCATATGTTGCGCAATTTTGCCACAAATCCGTTATTTGATTCAAGTTGTTCCATCACCCGATGTAATACATGGCGGTTGATTTTCACAAATTTATGTTTTGAGGTCTTCAATGTTGAATTCCATAATTATGCAGCAACTGTCCTGAACTGCTTCAATGTGCTTCTGCCAGTTTTTTTCCAAGCCTTCAGTTTCCGTTCCATGTTAGAATTCATGTGGATTTTTACTTTGGACAGCTACTATCGCTGCGTACGTCGAGGCTGGCCACGGGACAGGTAGGTAAGTCGGGCAGGGCAGCTGCGACGGGGGAGCGGCACCAGGTCCGGCTCAACTGCGAGGTATGCAATGACTACGCCATCCATCAGGGACAGCCTACCTGCAGAAATCCCACAGGCACTCCGGAATATGCGGCTGGAACGGGAGGCACTGCAGCCGCCAGCAATCCAAGCTGCACCGAGGCAAGCACTCCGGCCATTGCAACCTCGGCGGCCGTGGCCATGACACCCCCAATATACTAATGACAACGACAGGAATGGCACCGTCGTGCACCAACCCCACACACGATTCCGGTGTCAGCCTGTGTTCCGGGAAAGGATGGCAACGAAGAGGGGTGTGGAATGCCGTTCTTTGGGCAGGTATTTTCTTGGGCCTTTTCACGGCTTGGGTGCAATGGGAGTTGAACATTGAGCACGTAGTGGAGCAAAGCGTGCACCGAGGCTAACACATTCAGTCGAGTGAAAATCGCAGAACGACCACCACAAGCCAGTGAAGATTTGGTGCTGATAGGCGGCGCAATTCCTTTCGGAAGACAGTGTCGTAACGACATCATTCAGGGCTTTTCATTGCTTATTCGCTGGGGACACCGGACTCCATTGCCTTAAAACATTGGGTTGCCAGCGCCGGTAGATCCCTGCGCCAGTAGCAAGTTCGCCCCACAGTGCAGTCGGGTACTGTCGTTCCGCAGCAAGTGCCCAACAAACCGGATACCACACGCGCACTACACGCATCGTTCAAATTACACCTACAGGGACAGGACAGCCCCAGCCTTCTCCGCTGAGCTGTCCAAAGGACCTGATTAAGTTAATTCTTAAATAAAGTAAAGTGGGAAATCCACAGATTTATGCAGCCATTCGCCGCACTCTCACCAACATGCGTTCACCGTGCCGTTCCTCGCCAGACGCACAGAAAGCACCCAACATCAAAGGTATGAAAAATTTTCATTGAAAATTTGTCCCGAAACATCTCGGCATGAACAAATGTACTGACAAGCATTCACGCCTCCAAACGGGCGTGCCTGCTTTGCCCCTCGCCGGACTACATGGCCGCGGGCGGTGACACCGTTCTTGCCGCTCAGTTCTCCCACTCGTGGCCCCGCCACGGAAATCCTCAAGTCCGCATTGCCGCCAGTACCAAGCACCTCGTCCATTTGCTGCGCGCCACTCGTCTGCCAGGAAGAATGGATGAGCCCAGAGCGTCGTGCCACACCTCCAGTTGGATTTCAGCCTCTGAGCAGCAGCAGTTCTGTTCGGGAGAGGCACAAAAGTACATCTGTTGAATGGCCATTACGTGTGACTGCCTGTTAAGGCCGATGAGTCACGGCCACGTGTATACACTCTAGAGAATGTGTCCAATCCAGATCCCCAAACAAAGGGATCCTAAAGACACACAACAACCTGTTACAATTCCAGCTGCAAATGCACAAGCCAGCTGAAAATGGATTGGGCTGGTAATTGGACCAGCAATTACACCCGTCACAGGCTGTGACGTGACGGGTACGGTGTTCCTTTCCTGCCTGACCTGGCTACGCCGTATGCGCTCAGAATTCCACAGAAAACTGAGTTGTCCCTTAATGCGGGCAATCTCCCTGGCTATGCCAGCCAGCTGCAACCCTTCACCCCGCATAAACGACAGCAGATCACACCAACACTGATTGCACACCTTCAGAAGTGATCTAACAAGACGTGCGGTGAGGATGTGACTGCAAACGAATAGGTTTACACTGAGCAGCGTCAGGAACAGACCACCTGCAGCCTTCCAGAATTTCAACAACTGGTTGGTGTTACTGAATATGCCCAGCCAATCTTTTGGGTTGATGCCTGGACTATGTACACTGTCTAAAGACAATAGTACATCATCAGTATACACCTTTACGTCCAGTTTTTCTTTGGTCTAGTGAAAAAGTCTTATGGCAGCCTGTGCGTTAGTTTTCAAACACTTTTCCTGACAGCTCGTTCCAGCTTTTTCGCAGCTGACGAGCTTGGCCTTTTGTCAAGGATTGCCTCTGAGCCTCCTGAGTGTCGCTGTGCAGGTCAATCTTCACAGGAGCAGGAGGACACACTATGACACTGTGCTTAGGGGCAGGCGTCAGTACAAGGGAAGTACTGCTGGATTCGACAGCGTCCTTTTCAACCCGACTCATGCCTCTTTGTCTTTCATTGGTCAGGATCCAAGTGACAATGAGTGGGGCATTTGTATGTTCTTCAATTCTGTAATGAACTCACGTTTTCACCAGCCTTTGCCTCCTTTCAGTACTGGACCTCACTGAGGCAGTACTTTGTCAGTTGCGAACTGGCCTTGATTACGCGCGGAATCTATTCAACTTTCCCTTTCCTTAACTACTTACCTTCCTGCCTTTCCACTTCCAGCCCCTTTCGGTTCGGTCGAATGTAGATTAGTTTGTAGCTCAACAAACTTTCACTCCTGATCACCTTTAGTCACCACCAAAATGCAGCAGCTGCCTTGGGAGCACAGCTCTAGGCTGTAAACGCTCAGCCGTATTGTATACTTTAGTAATGCGTGATTTGTACTGTAAGATAACTATAGCTCAGCACCCCAGATTTCTCTGAGGGTGTTTTTCTGGGGCCCCGTAGGCTTCCCAGTCTATTACGTTATGTGCAATTACTATTAAAGTGCGCTTGGGGCCCCGCAGGCGTTCCCAATAGGACACACTAAAAATAGCAACACTCTAGACGCGCTTGGGGCCCCGCAGGCGTTCCCAATAGGACACGTTTTGAGTGTATTAAAGCAC